AGGAGGCTCTTCAGTTCTTTATACCTCTAGCTTACAACATTGTGTACAAGGACTGAAGTAGTCACATAAAAACAGTACAAACTTCTGTATCTAAGTTTTACCATTTTTAATGAAAGGACTTTGGAAATATGGTACATTTCCTTGACAACACAACATTTCTTGGGAGCCACAGTAAAATATTTTACAGCTGTTCACTCGAATGTCGACATTCCCAGCATCATTTACATGGCGAATAAGATCAGGAAAGCAACCATCAAACAAAACAGACCCATAGCTTCAGACAGAGCAAATCCCAAGATGGAGTATGAGAACAACTGCTGCTTCAAGGAAGGATTTCTGGCACAACCAATAATGAGACTGCCGAAGACTGTTCCAATACCAGCACCAGAGCCAGCCACACCGACTGTGGCAGCACCAGCACCAATGAACTTAGCAGCAGTATCAATGTCCCTGCTGACTGCACTGGTCTGAAATCCCCTTAGTACCAGCTGGGTGCATGGGTTTTGTGTCCCACTGAGGAGTGTGTTTCCCTCTCCAGTTCGGACCTCGGGCCGATACAGAACTGATGCAGAGATTGGTCTGCACAGGGCCCTGGACCCAGCACGGATCAGAGAAGGGGTAGAGACGAACTTCGCACAAGCATACATGATGTAGGGAGTTGTGTGTGTCCTTCAGCTGGGAGTCAGGTCATGGCTCAGCCCCTCGGCACCAGAGGTCGAACTGAACGGAGAACCACCTGGAAAGATTTTAAGCCAGGTCAGGCATGCATACTTTAAGATAGCCTTTTAGACTGCCATAGCATATATTATGTTATTAACATTTTGTCTCTGCCCCATGAAATCATTCTTTAAAATTAAATTTAGGTTTTGTATTGAAGGCACAGATCAGCTGTATAATAAGACCATGTAGGATAAGTTTCAAGGTTTTGTAATGCATATTGGTTATATATATATATATATCTATAATCTCTGCAAATGTAACACTTTAATTAAATTAAAATATTTTTGTTTGTTTTATGAGTGATTGTGTTTTTCCATTTTAGAACTACAGTATACCTTTTCACTGTTTTTCATATAAAGCAAAGGGCTTATATATGTTTGTTAAAGAAATTTTGATGGTAATAGTTTCTTGCTGAATAACTTCTAAGATCTCTTAGTATACAGTAGCTATGTAGCTATGTATCCATTTTACCTGATCTGAGCCAGATAACAATATTTCCCATTAGTTGTGAGTGCAATCCATACTTTGTGCCTATCCTTGCAGACAGTTATAACTGGCCAAGTAGAGGTGACCTAAAATATTTATTTTCAAAACGATGATCTACCAATATCGTGTTGGGGACCCAGTATGTTTTGTAACCAATTTAAATACAGATGCAACTCTTAGTGGTGCAACTCTTTTTTTAAACCAACCTTGCAAAAAATACAACTTTGAAAGACAACTAAATGTGCCTACACATACATTTTTGGTCTTACAACCCAATGTTTTTCTGTTGGATTTTCTGTGATTCCATAATGGTAAAACAGTGTGGCAGCTTTGCTTTTTACTGTGAATCTACTGCCATCTTCTGGTTAAGCAAGAGGAAGTGATACGCTACAGGTTTAGTTTTTGCAAGTGTGTGGAAGAAATTAGTTAAAGTAAAATTCCAGGCACCTATTAATCACCCCATTTTTTCAGTTATGTATTTTTTTTAAACTTGGTTGATAGGGAATGTTAGAATACATTTATAATTGTCTGTTATGCCTTTTATATGGTATATTAAACGTCAGTTTGAGATTATGTGCTGTTGCTGGGGAGAATGCTGTCCGTTTAACATATTCTCAGGCACTGAAAGCTGAAGGCGCCTTTTTTTTAGGCAGCTTGTACTGGAAGAACCTCACAGGTGCCTTGGTCATTTAAGTCCATTGAGGAGGCAGATGACACAGGATGCTGTAGTTCTGCAATAGCATATAGTTGCGGGCTGTGTTGTGTGTCAGGGATGTGTGAATCATACGACTTGCTGAACAGGATGACAACTATATTAACAAGTAAAACACCTTCTTACATTTGTGTATCTCAATTGTGTGCTTTGGTGTTTGGGGCAGATTCCGCTATAAAAGCATGTTGTGGATGCAAGGGAGAGTGTGCAAATGTAGGTGGGAGGACGCTAGTTTGTGTCCTCCCGTTACCCTAAGGAGAACTATGGGGGAAAACACTGACCCCATAGTTCTCCTTTAACTTCTTGGGATGTTTTTGACTTGTTATCTGTTGTTCAAAAAAGGATTGGGAGTGGTAGCTTTATTTTTTCAGCTTTTTTTTTCCTTTATTTTAATTTTTTTAAAAGCAGAAATTGTGTAATAAACATATTTATTATGTATGTTAAAAATCGGGTTTGGAAACTAAGCCCAATATATGCAGGATAGTGTGCAGTTACGCATGCCAGTTGGATACAGAAAACAGTGTTGGTTTTAGTTTAAATGTTTACTTTTAATGCTTCTACCAGTTCAGCAGGGCAGGGAATTGTTAACTTCCATGCCCCCAACCAAAGCATTGGACTAATAATATTACTTTGTGCTAATGTTTTTTGCACGGCTATTAAATAATTACACTTGATTTTTTGAAATCATATTGAACCTGCAGACATCTATGTTGCTAAATACACATGGTGACGCTGATTCCGTGAGTCAGTGTTTGTTGAAAATGAACATGTGTTCCAAGACAGAATGTATAATGTATATTACAAGCATTGGCCTTCATCCTGGATAACCCAGTCACCACCCACACAAGACACATGTCTGTGCTATCATATTAAAACTCATCTCCGGGAAAATGCAACTCTCTACCAATTTTCAGCCTGACAAATTCTGCTGTAGGAGGTGTGTTAAAGTGCCATTAATTTCCCCAAATGTGCCTCCCAACAAAGTGTGATAGCCTGCACTGGAACGCACGGTACTGCAATGCTGTGCGTTCCAGTGCGATTGCAAAAAATTGTGCACGCAGTTTTTTTCTGAAGTAAAGTTTCAGGAGCACCATCTTTAGTAATTGATATCAAGTTATTTGACTTATGTGATCATTGGGTACCATAATGACAATCTGTTCATCTTTTTTGCATTTTTTTCATATTGCCATCCTGGAAAGGCCCCACAAAGATTGCTAGATATACACACAGCATTTTACAGGCAATTTCAACCAGTTTTCAATTGCAAAAATGACCAAGCTGGTCAAGGCCACCCACCATCAACAGTTACTATTCATACTTTGAAACAAACAAAACTGTTAATGGTGATTCTTTTGATTATTTTCGTAAAGCTCTTTGAGAACTGCTGCGTATATGTCCCCGGTATATTGCTAGTCGTTATGCATCATACACAATTAGCATAATATTGTGTAGAGCTATAGGGATGCAGAATTTATCATTTCATCATTCCTCAAATTGGCTACAGCATGTAGTGTGATCTTGGAGTTACTCTTATTTTCTAATCCGTTTAAGCAAAGAAAGAACCGCTACTTGAAGTTTCTAACGTAGGAGCCAATGAACGTGTGCATTTATTAAAGTGTTCGTGGCATTTTTCTAACTGGCAAAATAATCTTCTGGTCTAAGCATAGCAACGAAAGTTGCTTACTTATATATATTGTTTTTTCAGGAGCCTCCTAAAGAAGATTTGACTGTTTCTGAAAAGTTTCAGCTGGTTCTTGATGTAGCACAGAAAGCACAGGTTTGTCTCTTGTTTGATTTTGCTTGTGATGAAATTATTTGTTTTGTCTAGATTAGAATATTGTTTCTTAACTGTGTTCTTCAAGCACCGCTAAAGAACATATCATGACTTTCCTTAATGTTTAATATATGGTTTCTATATTACAAAAAAAAAACCAAAACACTTATTACTCTCAATTATCTTAGTCCCATGTAAAAGTAATGTTGTATTACAAATTACCATAGTAAGGACTTTCTGGTTACCTATACATATTCTAAAGCTGTTTATATGGTAGAGTAAACTATGCTAAGGGTATCAGTATACTTTTTCTTTTGTACATTAATTAGATAAAATTAAAAAGAACAGCAGAAAATGTTTTTATAGTTTTAGTTCTGCACTGAAGTATGATTGGCTTTTCTGGGAAATAGCAAGGTAGAACTGGGTAAAAGGGAGCTAAACATGGAGTTTCATGCTTAGTAAAACAAAAAGGAGAGAACGGAGCACCACAAAGTAGCGCAATAACTCAGGTAGGATATGGCGAGGGGTATGAGGTATCAGGCTCATGGGTGGGTGAGCGCACGCTTTGGCACGGGGGGAAAACCGTAGCGTGGTGCCGTTTTCTTGTTTTTAAAGCGGTGTGGGTTAAAATGGAGATGTAATGGCAAGGCGGTGAGGGTTTATTGATGTACAAAAGCAAAAAGTGACTTCTGTAACTCACCGTTAGACTGGTGGAGGTGCATGGTCAGCGACGAGGGTATGATGTGATGCTGGTTGTAGTCCTGCAGGTGGCGTCATGATTTTTATCCGTTGAGTGGGATTTTGAGGAGCTTTGTGTGCTTGATTGAGCAGGATGCTGTCTTGTAGGAGATGTGGCGATCTGGTCCAGAATAGAGCTGCAGCTAACGATTATTTTCAAAATCGATTAGTTAGCCGATTATTAGGTTCGATTAATCGGTTAATCGGATAAACAATAAAATAAAGTTTAAAAAAAGGCTCCAGTGATGGGACTACTAGTTTGTATTGAGGTTGTAGTCCATCACAGGAGCAAGCTTGGACCGGTGGAAGAAAAAAAAAAAAAAAGATAGTGTGGTGTGCAATATAGTGAAATGGAAAGTGTAAAATTATACAGCAATGAATGCAGAATGGCACCGGCTATAGAGGACTACAAAACCCAGCAATAGTACATTATACAGCACAATGCAGAATACCACCAGCTATAGAGGAATACAACAAATCCCAGCAATAGTACATTATAGCTGGCGGTATTCTGCATTGCGCTGTATAATGTACTATTGCTGGGTTTTGTAGTCCTCTATAGCTGGTGGTATTTAGCATTGTACCACTTTATAATGTATTATTGCTGGGATTTGTTGTACTCTTCTATAGCTGGTGGTATTCTGCATTGCGCTGTATAATGTATTATTGCTGGGACTTGTAGTCCTCTATACAGCGCAATGCAGAATATCACCAGCTATAGAAGAGTACAACAAATCCCAGCAATACATTATACATACAGTGTATAATGTATTGCTGGGATTTGTATTCCTATGTATAATATACAGCACAATGTACCATCAGCTATAGAGGAATACAAATCCCAGCAATACATTATAGAGCACCATGTGTGGGAAAGTGCAGGCTTACCTGAGCAGTCTTCCAGCAACTTGCTTCTGAGATCGGGCCTGTCTATCGGCGGCTGTCATCACCCCACACCTGCTCCTCCTTACTACATCTCCCCGCGTCCCTGTGCCGATCGTGGATGTGGGTGGGCGGTGAGTGTGCGGCGTGTGGAGCATGGATGCGGGCGGGTCTGGCAGCGGCGAGCGTGAGGTGGGGAGGAGGTACGGCGCACAACGTGTGGAGCTGTGAACAGGGCCAACTGATCGGAAGCCGATTAATCGATTATTGAAAAAGTTGACAACTTTTTCAATAATCGATTATAATCGATTATGTCGATTAGTTGTTGCAGCCCTAGTCCAGAATGTGGATGGTGGAATACTGGAGTGGCTTGCACAACATTGAGGTCATGCACGTGGATGTTACTTGATTTTGCAGTTCACAAGT